CGCGCGTACTTCTTAAATAGGGTCAAAAATAATTTCGGTGTGATAGCACTAAGTTTCCTTTGCATTCGAATTCTAGAATAGCTGTCTCATCCTCTCAGATACTAATTTCTCATATTCTCACTACACATAAATTCAACACTAAATAAATTTTTGACGTAACAATTTCAATTAATTAATTATGAGTAAGAATTAGATTACGGTTGACTTGATGTTAATTTAAACGAGGAGAAATAATTAGAGTGAAAGTATTATAGACTAGCGTTTTCTAACTGACGAATTATTTTTAAATGACTCAATAATTCATTAAGCATTAATTCTGAAATTATTCAATCATAATCATCTGAGTTCATAATAATAAGACAGAATAAATACTTTATTAAATGTCCACCTCACCTTACGAACTAACTTATTATACAATGCTCTTTTAATCATTCCATTTATTTATCACTCCACCGAAAAGAGCCCGAAATTACCTTTATTTATCCTATGGTGTAACAAAGCTCACCAAATTTGGTATCTGGAGTCAAGATTGGTCATAATCACATCACCGATCGGTTAAAAGTAAAAAACTCAGTTGTGACTGAAGTTAAGATATGTTTATCGGTGATATTGTAGTATCGAAATAACACCAAAATCGTGAAAAGTTTATAGAAGAGACGACTAAGCGTATCTGAGGAAGCCTAAGGCCAAAAGGAACGAGAGAATGTATATTTGTTATGAATGAAGAAACATGTACAGTAATTCAATCACTGTTACAAGTCGTTATAATGATAATTGCTTCCATTACATCAATCGCATTCACCTTCTCACTCTATAACCTTATCACAAACTATATCATCTTATTCTGATGCTGTTTGCTGAAACATAACTCAGTTATGTACTTTTAAATACTTTCTTTTTTGGAAACATAGAAAGAAAAATATGTTTATTACATTTGCTAAAATATTACCCTTCTCATTTAAATAATTTGATATTCTTAAAAGTTCAATTTCCTCTCATTGACAGACACATAATCATACACCCAAAACCACTCCCACGCAAAGTGTAACCAATTTTCTAGTTGATATCCAATCATTTTGAAGAGATTTGGAGTTGACTGAGTGATAGTGGTTCATTTTACTGAATAGAATATCATTTCATTTTGTTCAAACACAACACTAATTTCACGGTTTGAAAAGTATATAAATAGAATCAAGTAAATGATTAAAGATTGAAGCAACAACTGCGCTTTCCAAACAACTTAGTTGAATAGAGCACCTTTACACAACGAATTCATATCAGAACAGAATGAAGAGACCAGATTCTGTTGTACTGTTTCTTAACAATCCAGAAGAGCAACGACAGGGCGTCAACAAAGCAAATGCTAATGAGGAAGACGGTAATGCTGAATTTTCAGGGGAGTTGGACATGATTTCCACAGAAAAAAAGAGTGCAATCAATCATTCCTCAAAGTCAATCGTGAATGAATCCAAGTTAGAGGGTCGTCTACTCACACGAGATGATTTAATAAACTTGGACAAAAATGAACCTCATTGGAAATATATTCGAATTGGAACGTTGATTGCGTTTGCGACTGTATTCTTTGGTCTTTTAGCAGCATGTATTGCATACATGAGTTTTGGACAGCAATGTCCATCTGTGCCCACATTACCATTCTGGAAATCGTCAGTCGGTTACTGGTTAGATGTATTTGCGTTTAAAGATTCGTCTGGCGATTTAGTTGGTGACCTCAAAGGTAATGGATTTTAGTGTAAATTTACTCTCATTCAAATGGTATGCATCTTTAGGTCTCATATCTGAAGTTGACTATATTAAGAGTGTGATCGGTGCTGGATTTGTGATTTTGGGTCCCATTACAAAAGGCTTTTACACTAGTCCATACAATATGCTAGGATTGGTTGAAGATTATGAGCAATTAGATGAGGCTGTCGGCACAATGGAGGATTTTCGTGTACTTTTAAAAACATTTCATAAGAAGGGTGTGAAAGTTGTCGTGACATTCAACTTCAATGCAATATCCATCAATCATAAGTGGATGAAAGAAAAGAAAGTAAAACTACAGTCATTCAAGGATCCCTACAACAATAAGGTGAAATCATTTTCTTACTTTCTTAATTTCCTTATATTTTATTTACATTAAGATATCACGTTATGGAAAAGCAATCGATGTAGATATCGATGGCAAGAAATACTATTCCGTTTTCGGATCACCGAATGTTGATCTAGATTTGACTGATCCTGGTACTCAGAGACAAATTTTTGTAAGTTTTATTGAATTAATTAACTATGTTAATGTACTAGAATGTGATCGACGTTTGGATGAAAGAAGGAATTGATGGAATTCTACTGGATAAGGCCGCATTTTTTGTTGAGGAAGAAGAAAATGTGCAAAGAAAAGCAAGTTGGAGGAATTTTAGTTAATTAAAATTGTTCTTTTATTTCTTTGTCTGCTCTTACTCCTTCCTTTTTACTTGCTACACATCTAGCTCAACTCCAAATGGTCGGAAAATTGTCCGAATTCGCAGTTGTACAGAAATGGAAGTGTAGCATTTGTCAAAGCTGTTAAACAAGCAATGATCAATTGGATTAAGAAAAGTGGAAAAGATAAGTAAGTTACTTCATGATAATTACTGTGAAATCATTTTTTCAATTGAAACTCATCAGTAATTGATAAATCGCTGACAAGAAACAATATTATACTTTTTGTTTAAATTCATACATCAAAATGACAGTTTCAAATGTATACGCTGTTCTATTGTTTCAATCGATTTGAAAAGTTCAATGAGTATAGTCAAATTATTAAAAAGGACCAAAGAGCAGGTAAATAAACAACGAGTCTATTCTTAAAAATTAAGTAATGACTTAAACGGTGAATTGCTGGGCGATTCGATGAGCTTATACTGAAGTAAAACTACAACAATTAATCTTTCCTGCACTTCACGTGCTGACGTCTATATTGAAGGATAGAAAAGTTAACCAGACAGGCCACTAGTTTTTATTTCTACCGATTGAACTGTTACTGTAGAAAAATTAATACTGATAAATATTCTAGGAATTTTCATTATCCTTTTTGCTAACATCTTCACCGTATCTGAGCGAAGATGTCTACAATGATGAAACCTTTCAATATTTATCTGTCTAAATCTCTCTAACTCTGAGTTTTCTACAGCGAAAATCGTGAACTAGTTCTAACTTGAACTCTAGTAGAAACCTACAATGTTCGGGCTCTTAAATGAATTGTTGACCTCTAGACCACTGACTTAGTGAGCACCCATCGCTGTCGATTTATGACATCACTGCATCCATGAATTTGTGCAGTCCTTGATCCCTTGCCCGTGGTTGATAACCGTGATGTCTCGTGAATTTCATACAGTTTGTCGAACTAATCTGGAACTCACTTGTTAACGTACGCACTTTCTTTTACAGGTTGTTGGCTGTAAATTCAGGAGATACAGGTTGTGGTGTGAATACTAATCCTGATCCGATGTTGATGTTCAGAGATGCGGCTGATTTAATAATCAGTCGCGAATTCGTGTTTCAACGGGGTGAAAGTGGACGCCATATGACATTTGCAACGACGAACATAGAAAAGTTTTCTTCATATTCAGACTCTGATAAGGAGAATCTAATATTGACGACAAGTACTTCGAATACTCCAACATATTCAAATATTGTTGAACTTGCATCAACATTATTACTGCCAGGTATCTGAACATTATTATGATATGGCTTGTAACTATTAACATTGTTCATCATGTCTCTGTACAAAGTCCTAAGAGAAACTCTCAGTTCAACTATTCGTATTCAAAACACAGATTAATTGAATCCCCATCAATTACTTAATACGAATTCACAATTGTGAGACACTTCACAACAGAATCGGTGATAGATGTTTTACTTGAAAAGAGACAGTATAAAGAGATCAAGTTAGGAACTGCTCATAGTGAAGTTCGCGCTTCAAATGAAGTTTCGTAAGGTAATGACATATAAAATTGATACACTCTACAACAAATCACAATGAATGATTATCAAAACTGTCTGCGGTTTTAAGTACAGATCATCAGACCAATTTCGTCTGAATATATGTCCTTCTGCAGACATCATCATTGTAGGTACTGACAATTTTTGTTTGTACTAATAGTATTTTCTGCTGTGAACAAACCTTTTGTAGTAAATATTCCATCATGAAATTCAGTAAGAAGTGTTTGATCACTGAACACTCATAAGTTATTGAATTGATTAAATAAGAATTTTTTCACTTCAATCAACTGTTAATTACATCTGTAGGTGTGCCAGTCGTTTATTATGGTACTGAGATCGATATCAGTGGCTGGGATTATAATCAAATTCCAGAACGGATATATCCAAAAGGGAAGGTTTACAACCAAGACGCTGAACTTTGGTCTACACAATCCCATTTGCCAATGCCATGGGATTCAACTGGGAAAAGGTTTTCGGCAACCATAAGTGATACCAGTTTTACTGACTATCTAAACGGGTATACACAACTGTCTCTTGTTGAAGTAAGTTATATGGTAGTAAATTTTACGCGCAGTCCTATTCACTACTTGTTTTCGTAATATTAAAAATTTTTGTTTATTCAAAACATTGTCAACTAATGAAAATGACTGACAGGTTTCATTGAATATCCGTCTCTTGTTCAAAAATGTGCCTACGTGCTGTTATTTTAATCTGATGACAAACGGTTGAAGTAAACAAAGTACGATAAATTGATCAGCTTTCAGTATTCAGTCTTTGATTGCTGTGCTTTGTTCCTTTAAAAAGAATAAATAAAGTAGTTATCAATTGTAGTAGTAGTTAGCTAATCTTTTATTAATTAATACTGAACATATGAAAAGTGTGATTAGCTCCTAAGGTTTACATACTGGTAATTAAGATGACACTTTTGAGCCGGTGAAATGCAGAAAGTCACATGAGATTTGCAATGATGGTTAATTCGATTTACTTTACAATACTAAGTGTTAACAAAAAGCAGAATACAAATAGTATGTGTATCAATAAATTCAAGGATCTGACAGTGATTGGCATAGATGAAACTATTTCAACTCATTTCACATTACAAATTAAAGTAATTGATGAAATGTTTCTGATAGTGCAGAATTAGTAGCGTCTGATGAACTAGCCTAAAATCTGGCTTCAACATGACCTCTCGTATAAGTTTACTTGATATATGGCTCAGGCTTCAACCCATTTGATGTGAGCTCCATTAAACTTACTTCTGTTTCCATTAACTCACAAGCTAAGTTTGGTAATGAACAATGTGCCGAATGCAATGAGCATCTGATATAACAGCGGTTGTTATGGATGACAGAAATAGTTATGTCACATAGTACTGCTGTATTACAAACAATTTTTTAGTGTATATTTAGTATATCATTTCGTTTTCCTTTGAAGGAAGAACTTGCCGAGGGAAACAATCAATCGAAACTTCATCTCGTTAAAAAATTGGTGGCTTTGCGTCAGAATCCTAGTTTGAAATGGGGAACAATGGAGCGGATACGTCTTGCTGAAGTAAGTGATTTCAACGTTTAGGCATCAGACAAACCACCTCGTTCCAAATAATTTTAATATCTAACCACTGTAAGTTAATTTAAATATACGGATTCAAAAATCTTCTCCTTTTTCAATCATATGTGTGGTCGATTTCCTGATCAATGAGACTTGTTTTCATTTCAATTTTTTGATTCCCCATTTCGAATTTTTTCATCAAAAATTCGTTAGATACACACTACACTTCTTTAGTTTTTGCAACGTATTCATTTATTTTAGATGGTTCTCTCATCCCATAACTTTTTGACGGCCTAGTATAAACGAATTCATGTGTTTGCATACGATACTATTTCTCTCGTTACGGTTCTAGGTTTATTTAATGAACACGTTAAGAAACGTGAAGTTGAATAATTCAGTCGGTCGTGAACACGTGAAGCAAAACATACAGTGCGGGTAATATGCAGGCGACGTCAAACTCATAGTCACTAGAGTGGTAATCTGTCAATCATCTCCTTAAATCAAAGACTTCAGTTTAACATTTTCATTCTGAATAACTGCCTTGAGACATATGTGACACCACGCTTGCTTTTTTGTTTACTGTTAATCACTACATTCAATCCGCCGGAATTCCGCTCATCCAAATACTTGACATTCACTAGTTTTATCTTATCTGTTAGTCTCCAATATATGTGGATACGTTAAAACTGACTATATCCATGAAGCCTAAATCCCGGAAGTTAAATTTTGAAATCATTTACCACTGTTATTTTAGCGGATAAATGTTTGTAGCGATAACTTTCACTCAACTGCCATATACGCCATTTTGAAGTGGAAAATTTAACATGCTTCATTAGCTAACTCTATACTTTATTTTATTGATTTAGATTCAGGGATATGAAACATTCATTGAAGCGTTTGTACGACAGGCGAAAGGATTTCCATCGTTCATCGCGGTGATGGTACAACGATTAGAAAAGGATTACTTCTTGGATCTCACTCCTGTTTGTTCATCAGTTACACCGAGAATAATTTATCCCGCACATCCATATTTGTCAGAGAATATCCCATTATCAACTTCCAAAATACACGTTCCAAGTAAAACTGTTTCAAATCACATTTTGGTGTTTGAATGTAACTGAATAAACCATCATTCAATCCGATTACCCATAATTAACATTTGATCCTGAATAAAATCTGACCATAGTATGATTTTTGTATTACAATTAACATTTCAATTAAACTGTATTCATTTTGTTGTATGACTGATACTCAGTATGTTGCTATTTTAGTTTCATTTTTGAAATCTTCTACATGCCTGAATTTGTTCACTCTAGCCGTGGATAATTTTTGCATCGCAGATTGATGAAACACTGTCATTTGGATGTCGAATCGTTAAGACACATGTGTTTAATATTAGTTCATGCGGTTTCTGCAAAACACACAGTTCAAGTGCTTCCATTTTTGTAATACATATGTCTCTGAATTTTGTATATATATAGGGTACATGTGATTGATTACTGTAAGACAATGTGAAGTGATCACTTCTATATTGTTCATTTGAGAAGAATTCAGAAACACAGTCGATATATTGATACGTCTAAGTAAATTTCTATTTGGGTTGATGCAACATTTGTCAAACAGTGTATACTTTCACCTTGATTATTTGATTCGCATAAACAAAAATGATTTATAAGCTGTGAACATGTTCGTGCGTGTATGCTCAATCCATAAATTTCAATGTGACTATAGTTGAGAAAGATTTAAACAACCCTGCAATTTATTGAACTATCAGTAACAAACGGTGACCAAATGACAGATTCCTTGAAACAATTATCGTGAACTGTCTGTCACAGTGAGTTCCTACACCCAAAATAAATTAAAATACAGGGAATCTTATATTCTGTAGAGATATCGTTCCATCACCGTCAAAACAAGCACACAATGGAATGAATTGTAGTGATCATAAAATTATAATCATTTATCTCACTACGTACCCAAAAAGCAGCTTTCTTACATAAATGTAAGCAGTCATTATGGAAACTACAAACATATTGACTGAGACCTTTTGTATAAGCTGGAATCATACTCTCACTTAATTACTCTATTCTCAGATAATCATCTTGTGAATTCCACAGACAAATTTTATCACAAAGCGTATTTAGAACCATTAGTATATTCGAAAACATACTGGACCATGAAGCCTAATGAATTATTTATCATAATCAAATATAATAAT